ATTCTCCAGCACCACAAACTCAAAGGCATCAATTCTTCCTCTGTAATCGTTACTCGTTTTCTAACTTTCAGAGGCATAAAAAGTTCTTGAAATTACCATGGCTTGAATCAGGTCCACCTTAGTGTTTAAAATGACATCATTACTCCTTAGCACTTTGGAGAGGTCTTTGAGAGCAGATTTTTCTCAATGTAACACATCTTCTGATCTCTTGGCTGCTGGTGCCGAGGCTGTTGATTGTGTATCCAAGCAAGATTAAATCATCGACAACTTTAATCTTTTATGCAAATGAATATCCAATTTTGCTGGCATTAATGTAGCCAGGGCACTCCTTTCAGGCAACAATGGTGGTTCATTTCACACACTTTGGGCATGTTGTTAGGAAGTACCAGTTCTTAGAAAAAGACATCAAGATTGTAAAAGTGGAGTCAGTGAAAGACAGGAAGACCTTCAAGGAGATGGATTGACACAGTGACTGTGACAATGGACTCACATATATCAGAGGCGGTGTTTTTCAGAGGGTCATTATGAGTTGTAGTCAACTTGACAGTACCCAACAACAGCACGATTTATTGAAGATGCTGTCTCTTCACCATTAAATGATCTTTGACTCTTTGTTGAAGATTAGCTGTCCATGGGTGGATGAATTTACTTCTCATTTCTCAATTCTGCTCCATATCAGATTACCCTGGCTGTCCAATGGGTTTAGAAATTGGGAAGGATGAGATCACCTACTTTGTTCTTTTACTTCAACAGTATTTTACTTATTTCAGGGCTTTTTCCTTTCTATATAAAGTTGTATGTGTGTATATGTGTGTGGTGTGCTTCATTGAATCAGAACTGATTCATAGCTGGCTATAGAGTGAGTTTTCAGAGGCAGAAAATCACACGGGAGGAGACTGCCTATCTTTTTTCAGCAGAGCTGCTGGTGAATTTAAATCACACACTTTTAGGTTGGCAGAGTACTGCCTTACCACTAAGCCACCCAAGCTCCCTATGTATAAAGTTGATAACTAGTTTTCTCATTTTGTTACAAAGCCTTGTTGGTATTTGGCTCGAGATTGCATTATTTGTATAGATTGCTTTGGGTAGTACTTCATTTTTATAGTACTAAGTCTTCCCATCCTTGAGCAAGGATTGTTATTGTTGTGTGCTGCCAGGTCAGAATCGGCTCTTAGCTGACCCTCCAGTGGATTTGCAGAGGCAATAAATCACACAAGGGGAGATTTCCCACCCAGCCTTCTCTAGCAGAGTAGCTGATCGATTTGAACTGTGTGCCTGTGAGATTAAAGCACAGCTTCTTACCACTAGGCCTCTAGAATGGATTTTCAATTACATGGTCTCTTTTGGTTTGGGCTTCAGTTTTTATTTTTAGAGCAGTATCTTTTCTTATTAGATGCATTCCTAAGTAGCAAAGTAGACTGGCCAGGGTGGGAGGGGGGAAATTATGCAATAATGAAGGATTTTTTTTTTAAGTGAACCGAGGAGATAGGGTGGAAAATGTCTAACAATTAATAAATGAAAATCCAACTTTTCTGTAAACTTTCATTAAAATCACAATAAAAAAATTTTAGAAAAAGAAGTTTCCACCCTCAATGAGATGGATTGACCTGGTTACTGGGTGGCACAGTGATGATGAGGATGGCACAGAGCTAACATCTGTTGTTCATAGGGTCACTACGAGTCGTACTCAATTTATCAGCATATTAAAACAAGAGTCAGGGATGGGTTGGAGGGAAGGGAAGAGGGGACGTTTTCTTGCTCAGAGGACACTGCATTTTGATTTCAAATTTTTTTATTACCTTTCATGAACAGCAATAACTTCCTTTTCCCCTTCCCTCCTGCCCTTGAAAACTTCTAAGAAACTTTGGTCTTTCTTTATTACTTCTCAGTCACTGCCACTGAGTTGACTCTGACTCGTTGTAAATTTCCACTGGGTTTCTGAGGCGATAAGTCTTAACAGGGGAAGACTGCCCATACTTCTCCCATGGGCTCACTGGTGGCTTCAATCTGAGAGAGACATGCATCCTTTCAGTTAGCACACGTTGCCCTATGGACTACGCCACCAGAGCTTCTAGTCTAGATATTTTGTATATCAGGTATCGTACAATACCCGTCCTTTCTTTCTTTGACTTACTGCACTTTGTGTAATATTTTCAGTGTTTCAGCATGCTTTAAGGTATGTCAGAACATCATTTCTCTTTCTGACTAAATAACTCCATTTTACATATTCACCACATTTTAGTTATCCATCCATCTATCCATCCATCCATCCATCTCGTAAGGGGCATTTGAGTTGTTTCCACTGTTTTTCTATAGTGAATAGTGCAGCAGTGAGTATTTATGTACAGGTACCTATTTATGTTTATATTTTCAAGTCTTTTGGGGGTATATACTCAGAAGTCAAATTGCTGGGTCATAAAGTAATTTAATGCTATTCCTTTTTAAGGAGCCACCACACTCACCCCACAGTCAATGTACCACTTTACATTCCCACCAGCAGTGGTAAAGAACCCCATTTCTCCAAATCCTCACTTTTGTTTTTATTTTTTCTTCTTCTGAAAATAGTATTTCTAGTGGAAATAAAAGGAGCTCCCAGGCAGTGCAACAACTAAGAACTTGGCTGCTAATCTGAAAGGTTGATAGTTCAAGCCCAGATAGTAGTTTTGTAGAAGAAAGCCATGAAGATATACACCGATAAAGACTGCAGCCTCGAAAACTCAAGGAGCAGTTCTTTGTCACTTATGGTCAACTTGAGTCGTAACTCTTAAATAGACTTGAGGACACCTAACAAACCAACAACAGAGGTGAAATGAAATCTCTTTGTGGGTTTTTATTTGCTTTTACCTAGAGACTAGTGAACTTTATCTTTTCATATCCTTTTTAAAAAATTTATAATAATTTTAATGAACATTTACAGAGATTTTGGATTTCCATTCATTCATTGCTGCACTTCTCTCCCCCCCCCCCCCCCCCCGCCCAGTTCACTCCTCTCTTTGAAAAGTAAAAGAAAGACTCCCTCCCTGGTACACAATCCCCCCTGGACCCCTCCCACCGCCCCAAGTACATTCCACTATGCAACCTTAATTGTGGACTCTTGTGATAACCATAATACCCTATCATACATTGCTTTTAAATTATTCTCTCCCTTTTCTGTTTCAGTACAGTATACACAATTTACCCAGTTTTTCTCAGTCTTACCCCAATCCTGCTATCAGTCCCATTTTACAGCAGTGGCACCGTGCAGTATTTGTCCTTTTGCGACTGAGATATTTCACTCAGCATAATGTCCTCCAGGGTCACCCATTTTGAATAATATTGCATGAGTTCCTTGTTTTTCAATGCAGCGTAGTATTCCATTGTGTGAATATACCACAGCTTCTCTATCCATTCGTTTTTTGGTGAGCTTAATATACTTTTTTATTTGATGATATGTCTACTCAGTTCTTTGCCCATTTTTTAACTGCATTGTTTCTATTGTAGTTATTGAATTGCAGCAGTTGGGTAAACTCTGAGTTTAGCTTATCAGATGAGGCTGTGTTCTTAACTTTCACAAGCATAGCATAGTTTTAAAAGAAGAGGCTCAGGTCTTATAAAGGGGTTTGCACAGAGTTGAGGGAACACTGAATGCCTAGGGGTTAGAAGTGACACTGCCACCTAAAAGATATGTGGTTTGAATTCTCCAGACGCTCCACAGGAGAAAGATGAGAACTTTCTTCCTGTGTGATTTACAACCTCAGAGCCCTGGACTGTGAGTTGGTTCCAACTCAATGGCACATAACAACAACCACCACAGAATTGGGGGACAGTCCCAGGTAGAAATTCCAAAATAAAAGAAAAATTTCTCCTGGAGTTGAGAATAGATTATCGGGCTCAACCAATGCCACAAGCAGGGAGATACTGATGTTATTAGTTGACTAAGACTCATAGCGATCCTGTGAACAACAGATCTTAACTGTGCCCTATCCTGTGACATCCTCATCATGTCTGATATGTCCCTAGCCCATTGTTATAGTCACTGTGTGAGGGCAAAAGGGGGGACAAGGAGCATAAGGCCTCAGACTTGGATTGCCAAGGTCAGAGCCAAGGTTAGCCAGCAAAGGAAAGGTGATTTCCCAGGAAGCAAGGGACCTACATCCTCAAATACAATGTCTTCCTCCTTCTTGTGTGTGTCTTGGCACTCAGTTCAGGCCCTTTGTACTTGTAGATTCTAACGCTCAAAGCATTAACTAGCAAATTTCCCTGTGTGTTGGAAGGGAACCAGGAGGACAGAGGTGGTCTGTCATAGCTCAGAGGTCGCATCAAAATATTTTCTCAGCCGAGTGTCCCCAGTGGGCCACACAAGACCTGGAGGAATCATTGGCGGATTTAAGGTACACGCAGGATAACAGACCATGGGAATTAGAAGAGGAAAGAGAACAGTCCATCATAAAAGGGAGGGGGGGGGTGAGAGACTCCCACTATGCCATTTCCTGTTGTCCTTCCTCAGCCCTGCCCCACACAGCCTGTGCCTGGGCAGGACCTGGCTGTGGCCAGGGGTTTGGGCATCTCCTGACAGCTCCTCATAATGAACACTGTCTTTCTCTAGGCAGCTAGAGTTTCAGTAATAAGACACTCAGAGTTAGTTATGACACTCAAGTTAAAAGCCTCTTGTGTAAGAAGGAAGTATCTTTTTTATGTCTTCATAAAACTGCCCAGACCACTTACCCCTGCTGCGGAAATGGTGATGCTGAGGACAGTGGAGAGAAAGGAGCATCTGACCTGAACTGGAGGCCAGAGACAGTCAGGGGAGTCATGCTCTCTTCTAGTCCAGAAAGGAGCCCTGGCTGTACCTTGGTTAAAGTACTCAGCAGCTACCCAAATGGTTGGCAGTTTGAACAGCCAGCTGCCCATGAAGAAAGATACAGCAAGCTTCTCCATAAAGTTGACACCCTTGGAAACTGCATGGGAAGGTCTACACTGTCCAATAGGGAACTCTGGTGGCCTGGTGGACAAGGAATTACATGGCCAACACAAAGACAGGTAAGTGGAACCCACCAGTTCCTCCACTGGGCAATCTCCTCCCATGCATTTACAGCTTGTGAAAAACCATAGAATGATCAGCTATGGGTTGGTTTCAAGTTGATACCATGTAACAACAGCAACTCTGCCCTATAAGGTCACTATGAGTTGGAATTCGACTCAATGGCACTAAGTTTTAGGTTCTCAAATTTGCCTTTCTGCTTGCTATGCCCAAGTTAAAACTGACTGAAAAGACCACGGCCGGAATCAGGTACACCTTAGTCCTCAAACTGACATCATTGCTCCTCAATAATTTGGAGAGATCTCTGACTACCGACTTTCTTAGTCTCCTGATCTGACTGTGGGTACCAAGTAAGATGAGGTCATTGACAATTTCAATCTTTTTTTCATCTATCATGATTTATCAGTCCAGTGGCAAGGAATTTGTTTTCTTGACTCTGAGATACAAATCTATATTGAAGACTGCAGTATTTAACCTTATAGTCCTCCTCACTTTCAACAAGCAAGGTTGTGTCATCTGCATAACAAAAGTTATTGATGAGTCTTCCTATAATCTTGATGCCAAATTCCTCTTCAAAGAGTCCAGTTTCTTGAATATTTTTCTCTGCCTACATAAAAAGTAGGTGTAGAGAAAGGATACAACCCTGATGCACACCTTGCCTAATTTTAAACCATGTAGTGTTCCTTTGCTCTGTTCACACAGTAGTTTCTTGGTCTAAACACCGCTTTCTTGTAAGCATAATTAAGTGTTCTGGGATTCTCATTCTTCACAGGCTTTGCATTGTGGTGTTGGAGAAGAGTACTGCATATCCCATGAACTACCAAAAGAGTAAACAGATACGTCTTAGAGAAGCTGCAGCCAGAGTGATAAAGCTTCATCTTTACATACTTTGGGCACGTTGCTAGCAGAAGCTATTCCTTTCCCCCCCCAAACATTTAGGTAGGATATTATTTTCCATGTACTTTTTTTCAAAGAAAATTTTTCGTTGTGTTTTGGTGAAAATTTACACAGCAAGTTTGGTTCACTTCTAACAATTGCCACAGAATTAACCAATGATATTAATTACATTTTCCACATTGTGTCAGCGTTCTCATTAATTGTGTTCTGGAGGCTATTCCTTGGAAAGGTAGGAGAAGAAGAGGCAGACCCTCCACCAGGTGAATTGACACAGTGGCTGCATCAGTGAGCTTGAGGATGTTAGAGATTGTGAAGGTGGCACAGGATCGGTCGGGTTTCAGGTCTGCTGTTCATGGGGTTGCTATGAGTTGTACTTTACTCAACACACCCAAGCCCACATAAAGCAACAGATGAGTTGCCGGAGGAGAAAGACATTCTTAAGAGGAAAATGTCAAACCAAAAGGGAAACATCATTAAAAATTGGGAACAGGTTGTCAGGCTCCATCCATGCTACAAACAGAAAAGACAGCAAGTCCGGCAATGAAGCCCTGGAGAGTGTCCCCAAGACGAATCCTCTCTCCAGCCCTGATCTCCAGCCTTAATGTCCCCTGTAGGGGATGCCAAATGTAGTTGCCCTGAACTCTCCAGGTTTTGAAAATTCCAAGTTTCTACCACCACCTGAGACTGCATGATAACACATGATTAAACTGAAAGGCATTTTGAAAAAACCCTTGTAGAAAGAAAAACATCCAAAACCACTTTAGCTTGCCTTTGGCGAAGGCCATCTGAACACACCAGAAACACAGCCCAATATCTTCTGTAGAGTGCCACTTTACAGATAACCCCAAAAGGGCTCCGGACTTCCTGCTTGTTAAAACAACAACTACAGTAGCAGGAATTGAGACCTCAAGCCCAGCAGGGTAGAATGAGGAAGGAAACAGCCTGGTAAATGACTATTTCCCCCAACGTGCCTTGTTCTTTCTAGATAGAGTACCAGAGCCAAGTGGTGACAGTGGGATAGTTTGATTGATCAAATGTCAAAAGATATCTTTTCCTTTCAAAGCTAGTCAAATTTCCATCTTCTTTGAAGTCTAGGGTAAGCAATAAGATCCCTTGGAGAGTTACTCGTCTACCTTTGCAAATAATTAGGTCCATTTGACTGACACAAGACGTCTTTATGAAGTTGCAGGGTAAATTATCTCAGATCTAGCAATAAAGAAAGTTGTGTGATTGTAGTGTTCCATCCTTCAGAAGATCTGCTCCTTTTTAAAAAATTATTAAATTTTATTAATTTTAATGAACATTTGCAGAGATTTTGGGTTTTCATTCATTCATTGTTACACTATTTTCTCTACCCTACTCCCCAGTTTGTTCTTCTTCCCCCCACCCCCGCCAGAAAGTCTGTTTTAATTGTCTATTTGCCACAGTGCTGGTCAAAGCCAGTTCTGATTAAGCTCCTTTGTCAGTGTGCCCTTTGCCATTCCCTATCATTCCTCCCTGAGAGAGACTTCACCCTGATTCATAAGGAAAAGGGGACGGCGTATTCTCTTAGCTACTTCCTGCTGAAAAGGGACGCTGTGGGTTTCAGAGGGAAAATCTGCTCTTAATACCTTTGTCTTATTCCTTCCAATCAAAGGGCTCTCTGGGGGCCTAATCCACAGAATTGTACTGCGAACCCAAAGACAGTTCAAGCTGTATTGCAGGTCAAATTCACTAGTAGCTCTAAGAAAGAAAGATGGCCAACCTCTTCCTTTGCAATTTACAGCCTTGGAAACCCACTGGAGGACCAGCTATGAGTTGACTCTTATTAGTAACAGTGAGAAAGAGAAAGAGAGAGATGTAATAAAATCTCCCCTCCATTTCTTTCCTTCTATGCCCCCCCTTTTCTACTTTAGATCCAAGAACATTCCCAGTTCTGGATTCGCTTCCTGGAGTGAAAAGCAAGGCTGGCTTCCTACCCACTTCCTCTTCCAGGCAGACACATAGGGAGCTCCTTAATGAGAACCGCCACTCGTAAGCGCCCATGATGATCTCAGGCTCTCAAGGTCTAGCAGGAGAAAAGGTTTAGTTTGATGTGGTTAAGGAAGCCATCACCACATCTTCATACTCTCAGCCCCAAACCACTCTCCTGCTCGTCACTCTCACTTTCCATTTCTCTGGATTCTCTTTCATCTAATTACCACCGACCTGCACACTCCCCACAAAGGAGGGTGAGTGGTACGCTTCCTCTCCTGTTTGAACTGCTGACTGCTGTGGCTAATACACCCTAGTCCGGGCCCAATCAGGGAACAGGAGAAAACAGAAAGCAAGAGTGACTAGGACAGCCAGGACTGTTGTGACATGGTTTCCCTTAAGTGCCAGGAATAGAAAGGCAGACTTCCGACCAGCAGAAGCCCCTGTGCAAACCACCAGACCACACTGCCAGATAAGAGAAATGTTAGATTGTGTCATACTTCCTTCATCAGCCCCACTTTCTGAAAATGGCCCTGAGTTTCAGAGAGCCTCGCCTGCATCCCAAGACTCTGAGAAGGCTGAAGGAGGAATCAAGGTGCTAGGTAGGCATCTTGCTTTTTGGGTGTAACTTTGCTTTCCACCACAGAAGCCAAGGAAAGATCAAGAAAGGAGATTGTTGTTATCATGTGCCATTGAGTCAGAACCGACTCATAGCTCACTCTCTGGTAGGTTTTCAGAGCCTGTAAGTTGTACAGGAGGAAACTGTCCACCTTTCTCCCATGAAGTTGCTGGTGAATTCAAACTCGCTGTCTTTGGGTTGTTAGCACAACTCTTTAACCTCTAGGCCTCCAGAGCTCCCTCACAGAACAATAGTCCTGATCTAACTTTCTGCTTTCCATGCATGAGAGAAAGAAATGTGAACCGGACAGGAACAGGCCTTGAGAAAAGTAAAGCATCCTGGGACTTTCAACTCCTATGCATTCATGTACTGAGCATGGTACTACGTGCCAGTGCCTGGCCCAGCACACGGAGAAAGGAATAAGACATCTCCTTGCAAAATAGGGGCAGGGCCGAGGGCTTGCAAGGGAGTCTGAATCAGACTCAGCTTCCTCTAGATTCCTCCTCTGTGCTCGCCACCACAATCATCATCATGGAAATAATTCATCCTGACTCTCTCCACGCAGCCTCGGCAGGTGCCAGGGTTGTCAGCCCCTGCAAGAAGAGTGACAGCCAGAGTGTTGACAGGCTCCTAATTGGAAGGTAGGAGGTGCTGCCAGGGATCAGCTATAAAAGGCACCTGTGGACCAGGGTGGGCTGTGAGTGTGTGGAGGAGACTCGGAGGTGAAGCCTGGTGAGTTGTCACCCTGGGGTAGGGCCTGGCCCGGTCGACAGATGATTCACACAGCAGAAGGCAGCTGACAGACGTGGCTGTGGGAGCAGCCGCTCTGGGCCAAGAGATGAGTGGATGGCAGCAACAGCGTGCCAGCCACGGTGTTAGCCGTCAGGGAGCTCGTTAAGGGGGTGGAACAAGGAAAAGAGAGCCTTGCAGTGGTCCCAAAGCCCAGAGTCATTGAGGCAGGGTTGGGAGAGTGGTTGAGAAAGCTTAGGTGACAAGGGAACTGAGGGACAGAAGAACCCTTAGACTAAGCCAATAAAAGGAATCAAGTATTTGTGAATGACTTCTGCATGCCTGTAACTGCGCCAGGCCTTGGGGTGCTCTGAAGAAGAATCGTGTGGGAAGACTTTGCATCTAATGAAGGGAAATTAAATCCATCCACTGAAATTACAGCTAGCTGAGAAAATCTTGCACGTGCAACATAATACAGACACTTGTTCAAGCTTTCTTTCCCTGGGCTCATTCATTTACTGACGAGCCCTGCAAAGTGGAGGCATTATTTCTAAATGGCTGACGGAGGTGCTGTGCAGAGACTCTGAGAGGCTGCATTCCTTATCTGTGTCCCGCCAGCAAGTGGCCAAGCTGGGGTTCAAACCCAGGACTGTGTAAACCTGTAACCTTTCTCTCACACCTTGTAGCTGCCTTTGATTGGGATAAAGCAGTGTTGCAAGAAGTCCCTACATGATGCAAAGCATTAACATATTTGGCTGCTAACCAGAAGTTTGGAGGTTCAAGTTTTCCCAGAGACTGAAG